GCTGCCCCTCAGCCTGGGCTCGCTCGGTGGCTGGTGCGTGCTCAGTGCCTGGTTGGTGCCTGGTCGGTGCATGGTCTGTACGACTGCTTGGTGGCTCTGAGGAGGGATATGGGCACACTTGGTGGGCAGGGAAACAGGAAAATCACAAAAAATTTCTCCGTTCTTACCACTGGGAAGAGCCGCTGGGCCACTGCAAGAGCAGCACAGCTCCTGTCTGCGGCAACCTACAGAGGCCGTCGCTCCGCAGTTTGGGGCTATGCTCCATCTCGCTGCGGTTGGTGTGACATGAATGAGCATGGGGAACCACCATAGTGCCCCCATGGGGTGAGCCACACCCCAGTAGCTGTTTGCTTCTCACACTGAAACTGCTCCATCCCTCCAAGCCTGAAGGGTCAAGCTTGTGGTTTGTTGATGTGATGCCTCCAGCTCGTTACGGTTGAGAATAGAGCCCTGGTCCTGCTTCCTCCCAGTCCCTCGGACCCCACGAGGGAACCAAGCTGTGTTTTGATGCCTGTGCCGGGCTCAGGTGTCTGGGTTTGCAGGCAGGGGCTCGTGCTGGTCTGTGTCGGGTTTGTGAGGAGTGGCAGCCCCAAATGCCAATTTAAGCCGTGGGGTTTGGATGTGCCCCTCCCTGTCCCAGCTCTGCATGTGACCTGGCACAAGCAAATGCTTCCTCCTGAGCTACAAGCAGCCAGCTCCTGCTCTGTAGGCTGGATGCCATGTCTCTGCCCATGGGAAGCAGCGGGCCCGGGTGCCGCAAGAGGACGCAAAGAGATTTCCTAGTCTGGATACAGTGCGGTTTTGGCTTTCGTAGGTTGTCAGAGGTGAGGTACGGTGTCCTTCCCCAGGGAGCAGTTTGTGCTCTTCTCCAGGCACCAGAAATACGCAATGACAGCATACAGGGATGGTATTCTCCTCTGCTGCCCCATCCCACGCCAGCTCCCCTGGGTGTCTCTTTGCAGACATACTGTTGTTGTGTCAGATTAGGGCTTTGGGGAGTGGAAGACCCAGCGGTGCCGCCGTGTGTGTGCGGACCTATTATGGGGGGGAGGTGGTTGTGGCAGGGAGGTTTTGCACGTGGTAGCATGGGGAGGCTAGAGAATGTGCCTCAGTAGGGCATGGGATGAGCAGAAGGGGTTTTGGTTGCACTTGTAGGAAAGAGGAAGGCTGGGACCTTTGCTGGTGTCCTTCTCAGAAGAGGGATGTTCCACGGCTGCCCGCACCGTGGCTGTAGGTGTGCGCGTCTTTGAGGTAGTGGTGCTGGATGAAGGGCTGCGTGGGTGAAGGCAAGGGAAATGTGAGGGCATGAAGGATGTCAGAGGAGGAATAAGCCGAAAGAGCTGAGAAACAAAACAAGTTTAACACAAAAGTCTGGGAGGAGCGTAGGAGAGACGTCACGTCTGAGGAGCCGTTGGTCCAGCAGATGCTGTAGCGCTGGTGCGTGGGCTGGGGGAAAGGATGGGGTGTCCAGCAGCTCATCCATGTTTCTGACACCCTCACCGGCAAGGGTTTTGTGTGGAGGATCCATTCAGGGGAGTCCTTCAAGGTGACAGGGTGTACTCGTGCCTCGTGCAGATTGCATCCTCAGCAGAAATGGACGCGTTAATGCAGAAAATTAACTTGCATGTGAGCGAGAGCTGAGCAGTGGAGACACAAACAGATAAATCTGACCCAAAGTGCTGAGCTTGTGGCAAATACCAGAGCGTGTGCTGGGTTCTCAGATGCTTCCGAGAAGCTGGCAGGAGGGAGAAAGAAGGGTTCACTCGAATCAGCTTTTGTTTCCCCCAAAAAAAAAACGGGAAAAAATGGGTTAACTTCTTTATTTGTTCTCTCAAAAAATCACAGGGACCTGGGTTCCCCTGTGTTGCTTCATCTCTGCACAGCTTCTGCATTGACTTAGTCTGCAGAAACAGAGCGTGATCAGAGATCTTTTCCAGCCTGAACAACTCTGTAATTCTGTGATCAGCCCCAGAGGCGTTGTTCTTCAGTTTATCTGTTCCTATTGCTTTTTTTTACCTGAAGTTGTCATCCTCTGGTTGTTACGGGCATGATTACAATCTCACGGATAAGGGATTAGAACTTAGAAGTGCAAATAGCAACAGGGAAGGGGGAACTTCAAAAGGAAACTTCTTGGTTTTGTGGGAATGATCGTGACGATAAGAAATCATGGAAAAAGGGAATTGGAAGATAAGCTTTCTGCTGTGTATATGGAAGTCCTTCTGGATATATTGGTTGGCCTCACCTGCTGTAGATTGCTGTAGCTGTGTGGACTTCTCCAGGGTTAGAGGACAGAAACAATCTGATTTCTGAGGACCTGTGCTCCCTTACCATAGCTTTGGCTAATGAGATGGAACAATTCCCACGTGATGAGAGAGTGTCCTTACAGCAGTCAGGTGATTTATTTTTAAATCTGCTTTAGAAATAATTGCCCACAAAACCATCTGTTAGGCAAACACTTTTATTTACCTGCACTTTATTTCTTGTGAGGTGATGAAGAAATGCAGTATTCCCAAGAAAGAGGAGGCAACAGAGCACCCCGTTAGTGCACGTCTTTTGAAGCATGCTGCTGAAATAAGGGGACTTTGGGTCAACTGGCATAGATGTTTTACTCTGACAAACAAGTAACTTGCAGTGAGCAACTAGAGCCCCGGGTACTCTACAAAATTCATTCTTTGAAGCAAGCCTTGCTACATATTGATGAGCTTGGCTTTGGTTTTATAAAGAAAGCCCATTCTGGTGTTCTCTGAGAACATCAGTGATAAGCACAGACCTGTCTACCAGGCATTTTAAATGCTGAACATCCCTGTGTAAATAAGTGTTGCCTTCAAAAGTGACTGAATGAAGGATTTTTGAGTTCTCTATTGCATCTGCTTTTTGTCATACAGGCAAAAACTCTTGAACAGTAAATTTATTATGGCTAAAACACCTTTTGTTTCTTTTTTCCAGGCAACTGAATACTCAGCCATGGCATCATTAGCTGGTGGGTTAGATGACATGAAGGCCAACATAACCAGCCCTACTTCTGCAGATTTGGGAGCGAGCGTTCCTGGACCTCAGTCCTATCCTATCGTCACGGGTAAGCAATTTTCCAAACTCGACAAGAGTTGTGAAATGCGTGGGTGCACATTGCAGGGTGATGCTCTTTACTAAGAGGATGTGTCAGATGCGGAGTCGCTTGCTCAAAAACTCTCTTTTTAAGTGTGGTTTCGTAGCAGCTCTGCTAAAAGTCATGTGCATGGCTTGTCTGAATCAGAGCCTACATCCGTCCCTCTTGTCCTGGAAGGGATATGTCCCTCCATCCCAAACCTGCACCCTGAGTACCAACATGTGACCCAAAAGCAAAATGCTTGACTCTGCTTTTGGGCTTTGCTGCTAATTTTTCATGAGGGCACCTGGCACGTTTGGTTGGAGGGTTTTTTTATAGCAATTCAAACCAGTCCGAATTTTGGATGCTTTTGATTCCTGCAAATGCTTCTGTTTTATACTGCTTCTGGAATTGTAGTTGTGCACTGAGGCTGAGCATTTGAATGAAAAGCAGAGGTCATTTGTTCAGGGAATGCATTTATTTATCAGACATAGGGTGAGAGTTAAGGAACAGCTACAGTCTAATAAATGCTTTGGTCGCGTAGCTATTTGGGACTAAACGCATTGTGTGGGAGATGACTGCCCAGATGGTAAGGAAATGACGAAATTGTGTCCCAAAGGATTTGTGGAAAACAGAAAAAAGGGATTTTAAAATCTAAGGCTCTGTGTTTCACATGCATGTTACCTCTGTGTGTTACCTCTGTCCTTGTGTCTAGCCTGTGCAGATTCCAGCATTTTATTTTCTCCTTTTTGCCAATGATTTCTTTTACTTGTGTATTTTGTTGCTAAAAGGGAAGGTAGTGTTGTTTCTAGTATTGTGTTATGGTCTCTAGAAAGCGCTACAGTCTCATCTAGCGGGAGAGCAGATTTGAAAATTAGTGTTGTTACAAGATCGTTTTAACCCAATATGACATCAGTATTTGTCTCTTTTTGCTAAAACTTTAGGAGTATTTGAAAGAAATCATCTACGTGAAGTGTAAATAAATCCATGATTACTTCAAAGTGGGAGGGGAGAGACTTCTTGAAATAACCCTTACCTGCTGGGTGGGTGGTTTGAGTGGTAGACTTATTGGTAAGAGGGTTGTCTAGGGAGGGAGGGAGGGAGGGAGGGATGGATGGATGGATGGATGGATGGACAGAAGGAGGAATTTCTGCACGTGTGGCTTATAAAAGGTAGGGAGATAGAGCACAGATATAGATATATGTGTAGAACCATAGAAGAGAAGGAATCCAGTTTTGGGCAGCTCAATCCAAGAGAGATCTCAAGGTGCTGGAGAGAGTGCAGAGGAGAGCAACGAAGCTGGGCAAGGGCCTGGAGAAAAAATCTTAGGAAGAGCTGTTGAAGGAGCTGGGGCTGTTGAGTTTGTAGAAGAGGAGGCTGAGAGGAGACTTCATCACTCTCTGCAACTACTGGAAGGACATTGTAGAGAGGTTGGTGCTGGTCTCTTCTCATGGGTAATGAGCGATAGAACAGGAGGGAACGGCTTCAAACTGCAACAGGGGAGAGTTAGACTGGAGAGTAGGAAAATATTTTTGCCGGCAAGCGTGGTCAGAGATTGGCACAAGCTGCCCAGGGAGGTGGTGGAGTCCCCATCCCTGGAAGTGTTTAAAGGTCATTGAGGTGTGGTATTGGGGAGATGGTTTACAGGGGAGCTTTGCAGAGTAGGGTTCATGGTTGGACTTGATGATCCCAGGGGTCTTTTCCAACCTGAATAATTCTGTCATTCTATGAATGTAAAAAAAAGAATATGAACCATCATGTTTGGAGGTGTAAGCTACGTGTACAGCCCATGAAAGTTAAAGAGAAATGTCTCCTAAGGCAAATTGTTCTGTAACTGTTTGCTGCAGAGCTCCCTGCATCTTTCTTTGAAGCTTGGTGCTGCTCATTGCAGAAGAGCCAGGCTGTAATGGCATATCACGAGTGTCCTGTTGCCCTTTGTCCATCTCACAGGTGTCTGTCTCTTGCCTGTCCTGGTCTGTGCCCCCCAGGACAGGGCTGGTGCTGAGCTAGAGGCTTTGGTGCTCAGCTGACAGTCCAGCCCAGCTGTGTCCCGGTTGCTCTGGGTGTCCCTGCCCAGGGCTTTCCCCAACAGGAGCATCCAGATGATGGAGAGGGCGGGACACCAGTTGTGAAGGGGAGGAAAACAGAGAGAAGTTACTGAGCTGTGTTATCAAGTGGAGAAAGTTACAAAGGCAAGAAGATGACGGAGAAGCTGGGTACGTCCTCGCTTCTGTCTTCTTCTAAGAAACTGTCTGAGAGCTGCACCTGGTCAATGTCAGGTTCAGCCAAAACCTGTTGTTTGGTTTGATGCTTCAGCAGAGCTTGCTCCACTGGTAAAAACACTTCTCGTGTGTCACTATGACCTGAGGTTTTGGTGAGATGACCGTGTTTGCATGAGCAAAACTGCCTGCAGAAGTGATACTGTGGAGCTCATGACAGATCCTGCGTGAGTTCTCCTGTGGCATTATCTACACTTGGGCAAAAGTCTTAAATGTTAAATTTACTAGTTCTCATCAAAAACGTGGAGCTGGCTTTATGAGTAGCAAGCCTAGGAAAAAATCACTGCCGTTGGTCTTAAATGTAACAGGGTGAGAACTGTGACAGAACACATTTTACAAGGCAGTAGGTATTTTTATCTTTAATTTGATATTGCTGTAGAGTTTTCTAACACCTGCATTCATAAAACCTAGATTTACGCAAGCCTAGCAAAATGCTTTTAAAAACTATGCCTTCTGATACACTTTTTTAGAAGACTGTCTGTCTGTTGCCCTCCCTTTTCCTTTCTCAATGCCCTTAGCGCTGCTGGTGCCCTGAGCTGCGCTCCTTGCCCTGAGACTTTCCAGCTCAGCCAGATTCAGGAAAGGAGATGCATTTATTGAACCTTTTTTCACTTGTAACCAAAAGCTACTTATTACTGCTGGCCTTTCATCTGTAGTAGGTATCACTGAAAATCAGAAGGAACGTGGCAGGGGTACACAGTGGTGGTCATGAGCGCAGTGTCTGGCAGACGTTTGCTTACACCTCACGTGCTCTGCCTTCTGGAAGCTACTTTGTCACTCGTGGTCTGACCAAAATTCAGTGGTTTAGGGTTACTAAGCTGGAGATGGAATGGGTGTTTGGGTTTAGGTGGTAGAAACGGTGGACAACGCCTGGTAGAAGGTTAGCTTGGTGCCAGCCACGTTGTGTCAGTCGGGAACTGGCTCACCAGAGAAGTCCTGCCAGAGCAGGTCCTGGACCTTGGTACCTTGTCTGGCAGGGAAGAGCCCAAGCCCTACAGATCTGTGAACTGCTCCTTGCTGCAGGAGGAGTGGCCGACCTGAACTCCAGTCTTTCATGGGATATAGAAAGTTGGGTTGTTTTTGATTTCTTCACCCTATTTTGAGTCTTCCCACTCGTTCCAGAAAGTCTGTCGTGTGATGCGTCCATACAAACAGAGAGCAGGAGACTGAAAGCCTTGGGGGATGACCTGTTTCTGTCATGTTTTTCAAGTGTCGTATGTTTTTCATGTTTTTTCATGTGGGCTTTTTTCAGTTATGTGTTTTCAGCAGTACAAGGGAGGGGTGGCTGGATAAGGCTCTACAAAAGTCCACAGCCTGTACCCGGTAGTGCTAATGGCTTGAGAGGCTGACCTCACTTCTGAGGTGAATTTTCTGATTGTAGACACTTCTGTAACAGTTTAACAACTCTCTTGACACCAAGAATGGCTTAAAATACTGGCAAATGGGTGGTGGCATCCAGAAGAATCTGGTGGTGGAAATGCTGTTTTACCAGGAGAGTTCCGGTGTGTGTAAAGCGGGACTGCAGACGTGTGATGGCACAACAGAGATTGCCGTCAGCAACATCGGGACAAAAGGCCACATTTATGGGGACAAAGAATGTGAAATAGGAGATGGAGTTTGAGCTGAGAACACTCATGTCCTTTTGATAGCTGATATCTGCTGTTCAATCTTAAGCAGTTTTTATGAAAAAGTGTGGAGACTTTGTGGTCTGCCAAATGTGAAGAGACCTAAGTCTGGTCCATGTTATCAGTCTTAAGTCTGCAAGACAGATCATAAAAGAATTTAGTGCAAATAGAGCTGAGAATGGAGGCCTGAAGTGAATTACAATCACAGTGTTCTTGTTGCCGGGTGTGGGTGGCAAAGCGGTGTTGAGTGTTGGGATGCAAAAGATTCTCTGTGCAGCCATTGGTAGGTGGAAGACTTCTATTTCTTAGCAAATTGGTAGATCAAAAACATTCAGGATATTTCTTGAGGATTAAATGGCATCGCTGTTCTTACCCGTACTTGCTGCTGGAATACGTCTGAGCAAAAATCTAGTGACAGTTCTCAGCACTGCTTCATCCACCAGCCCCCTTGTGATATGGGCCACCAGCCAGACCTCTGACTGGAGAACCGCTTGGTTTCTCTCTGTGATTTTTATGCCGCGTTATATATTAAGTTTGAAAAAAAACCACTCTGCCCTTACTGCTTGCTGCCACGGTCCGTAAGTGCTCTCTCCATTTACAAGCCAGTGACACGTGCCCAGCTCATTGCTGCTGTATCAGCGGTTTCCAAGGAGCCTGTGATTGTCACTAATTACCTGCAGATGCATCCTCCCCGCTCTGGCTCGCTGGTTTCGGCCTGGCGTGTCTCGCTTGGAGAGGACAGAGTCGTGCCGAACCGGTGCCTTGGCATGGCTCTGAAGTGCACGGGTGCATTGGCAGCTCGGTGGCCGTCCTGGCTGCTGAGTCTGTCTGCCTCAGAATCGCACGGTTCTTCAGGCTCGAAAAGACCTTTAGGAATGAGGAGACCAAATGTTGCTTTAGCGGAGCTGGGGTGGCCATCGGCTGGCCTCACTCGACAGCTGGAGAAGCATGTTGGGCTTCAGTGGGGTCTGACATAGGCTCTGTGTCGCTCCGTTAAGAGGAGACGCTCAGAGCAAGCTGTTGGCTCTGGGCTTCAGGCCTGTTCCACCAGCAGATGCTGGAGTGGGGGAGCCTGGTCTCCTCATGT